TACTGTTGCAGCTACTTCTCAAGTCCAGGCCCAGCCTTTTGCACCCCCATGATCTGCTGGCCAAGCCCACACATAATCCAGAGCCCAAGATGTTGCTCCTGACAAGGATCAAGAACACACCAAGTGAGATGGCACGTTAGTATGTTCAGAGCAGCTTTTTTTTATGTGCTTATCTTTAATATAGTTCCCTAGGGTAACATATATAATTCTGATTTATTGTATGTATAATCTTCTTGTGCAAAGTATAATTGCAGATTTCTGTACTGTCCAACAATGCAGTTGTAAGGCACAAAAGTAAATAATATCTGAGTGAGAAACTAAGAGGTACTGGTAAGGGAGAAAATACATGTTTTCAGATCAGATCTGAAAAGTGATGGGGAGTCAATGGGGCATGTAAATGTATTTAATCTTCATAAAGGAACTTGTGCTCCAGAAGGATTTGACCAGTTATTGGAGTTTCTCCTTTAGGCTACAGAAGGTCAAATCTGCCTGGGATCCTGAGCTGTAGCCAGGCTGCAGTCATCACACACCACCATACATCCTGGGGTTTTTGCAGGACCAGAAGCAAGATATTTGAGAGCCAAGCAGGAAATAAAAGAGATGCAATTTAGGGCAGAAAACCTGCCCCTGCTGAGTGGCTCTTTTCCTCAAGCTGCAGTTTCATTGCTGGGAGTGGTCCCTAGAAGAGCATTACTCACCCTGGTCTCTTTGCTCTGGTCTCTAAAAGCTTAGCAGGTGGCTGAATGTAGCAGCTCAAGTTACAAAGATATGTGGGAGCACTCAAGCCGGTTTTGGGAGTATGTATGCATGCACATAAATCATGCATGTGAATCCTGAAGCATATATGGAACTGCAGAAGACAAAAAAAAAATTCTGCAATTCAAATAATTACTATTCAATTTGTTTAAAAAAATCTAGGTTACCTGAGGTTTATTTTAACCAAGCTTAAAAGCCAAATAAAATCATATGATGAAATAAAATTAAGCCTGCTAACCACAACAGCATTTGGCAAATAGCCTGTTTTGTAAAACAAAGGGTGGATAATTCCTATCTGACCCGTAATATTGGTCTAACAGGAAGGACTCATTTGATTTAACAAAGAGCTAATTCAAGATATTTGTGAATACAAGTAGGTTTGTTTAATGGAATTTTTCAAAGGAATTAGTACTTTTTCCTTTCTTGAACTTTTAGCTGAATGTTGGCTGAACTATTTCAGGACTAGGTTAAACATTGTTTAAAATGTCCCTTTTAGAGCTCTTCATCCCCTAGGTTTTTACTGTCATGTCTTTCTGCTTCTAAGTAAATGAGATGTCTTTGAACTGCTCTTGTTGCATGGTTTGTTTGTGTGCTTTTATAGGTTAAAAGCTTCTGCATTCACATTTAACTGTGCAGGAAGTGTATTATTTTCCCTGAAATAAGCTTAGACAATTGCTTTCTGTTCTCCCAAGCCTGAAGTCCCTCAGGTATTTTATCCTTTAAATAATTCCTCCCAATGGATGAAAAAGGCTTTGTATCTTCCCAGCCAGCAGTGAGATAGTCTGGTGGGATTTAGGCATAGTACTTTCCCTTAACCAGTGCCCTGTCCTCACCACCCTTGGGTCCCCAAGGACAGGAGAGAATGGTGTCCTGGCATTTGTAGAAGCCACTGCTGATGCTGTGGGGCTTTGAGCACTGCCACCACATGTGCTTAGACATCCATCTTCCGTTTTGTTTTTTCTTCTTACACTAGGACACCCCAAAAAACAGATGATGAGCATTTTTATGAGTCCAGTTTTGCATTTTGCAGCCCCTGACTTGTGCCATCACTTCAGTGCTCTCTGTGAGCAGCCATATAAAGCATTTCCCTCTGGGACAGCCTGCGAGGAGAGTGCAGGCTGCAACCTTGTCCAGGCAGGTGGCAAGACCCACACAGCAATATGCATTCAACCCCTCTGGGGACCAGAGATCTGGTTACAAGAACCACATAAATCTCCAGGTTTTCTTATCAGTCTGGCTGCAGCTGCCTGTGCCTGCTCTCGGCACTCCCCCCTCACGGGATGTGGAGAAGGGGAGATGTGAAGCAGAGGGGTGAGGGACTGCAAATCCGAGTGTGCCTGCCCATGCAAGTGATGGTGGGGGGCAGCGCAGGGGTGCACCCATTAACGACATGGGCGCTGTGCAGAGGGCTTTGCTTTTCCAGTAATTTAGCCCAGAGGGCGTGACGTGATGCAGAAAGCTGTGCCTCACCTGCCTCATGCTTTGTTGGACAACACTCTCCCAGCTTGGCTGTGCATGGTTAAACAGACTTTGAACCCTATTACGTGACCTTTTGGGTTCATGCCTGTCAATTGAGTTGCTTCCCACATGCTACTCTCTCTATTTACAGCTAGCAACAGACCTTGCCCTCTTAGAAAAGTATCATGAAAGTGTGACCTACTGCCATTTTAATTGAAGCTTAACTGCAACCAGCTATTCCTACCCATATCCCTCTTTTACTGAGAGAGCAGACAAATCCAGATATGTTCACAACCTGCATTTTCCCTCCATTCCCCAAAGTAGCTTGAAACCCAAACCTTGGATTTATCTCCTCACCTATAGACTTCCTGAGGGAGATATTACTGTTTGCAAATTGGTCCTATCCTTTTTGATTTGCCTTGGACCAGTGTGTAGCACTCTGTCTAAATTCAAGGTGTCTGAGCAGGCTGGCTGGGGGCAAAAAGCCGAAGTGCCACTTCTTCCTCATAACTGTCCCTGGGATAATCAGGTCATAGGTGTCTGCTCCCAACGTGCAAAGGCATGGAAAGGAAAAAGGGAACCAGCTAGGAGACTGCTGGGGCCCCATCCTCTTCTCCCTGGGTAGTCCCCACTTCATTCCGGCATTCCTCAGTGTCCCTGTGCCAGGAATTATCCATAGATTGTATGCCTTGCATTTCTGAAGGGCTGAGGTTTGCATTATAAGGTCTCTCATGCCCTAGTGCAATTAACGTGCTAAATAGAACTGATAGTGCTTATTCTTCCTACTACATGCATGTCTCAGTTTGAGAAAATCTGGAGGGGCAGAGACCTTGGACTGAAGTCTCCTCCCTTGGATTCAATAGCCCTGGCTTCTCCAGTACAGAGAGAGAGACCAAATATTCCAGGATGCACGTGCAAAAATAACTCTTTACCAAGAGTTTACCAACACTAACATCAATATTGATAAAACTGGGTTAAACTGATGAGGAGAAACTTCCCAAGACCTTTCCACCAGACCAAGTCAAGATGGCAGATGGCCTCCCCCTCCTGTGAAAACACATGTTGCCACAGGACAGGGACAAGATGGCCACCTTTCCACATGGTTCACCACCCTCATGCCTGGAAAACCTGGCAGGAATGGTTGGAGAGCCATCACTGGCAGGAAACGCCAGATAGCTGGGATTCAATACCAGCAGATGCTTGCAGGGCACTGGAGTGAGGCTGCAGGGCTGGTAGAGTCAGAGCGGGGTTGTGGACCCCCCAGGAGACTGGAATGACCCGCAAGACACCCATTGGATCAGCAATGAGACTTGGTTGTTACAGTTTCAATGTTCACTGGTGGAAGTGGTGGTTGTAGTGCTGTCCAAGTCATGGTCAGATCAGTCCAGATCAGTCAAGGTGGTATTGGAAGCCCAAGGTGGTGAGGGAAGCCCTGAAACTCAGAGTTGTGTAGGCTCAGGTTCAGGTGGAAATCTCCAGTACTTTCTCTGGCAGGGAGGTTTATACTGGATGATATAACACTGTGAGTCGTGGGATAATTCAGGAGTCTTTGACACCTTCTAAGGTGTTCCAGCTGCCTCTTACATCAGTACACCTGACTCCACGATGGCCCATTACTGATCATCAAGAAGAGATGAAAATCTTCAGGCTGGGTTTGAACGGTTCCAGGGAGTTATTCTAGCCGAGTCATCTGTGTAAAGAAAGAGAAATGCTACTGCACTTCATAGGGTTTGTCTCTTTCCTTATCTTGTTTGACACCCACCTTGTAGCTTGAGGTGTCTGATGTGCCTTCAACCCCTGGCCGAGGTGGCCACTCTGCACATTGTTGGCAAAGCACAGTGCTGGTTGGGCCCTGAGCACCAACAGTCCAGTCTCTCACAGCACCTGGGCAGTCACTGCAGGTGGTCACATGTTTTAGTCATTAATCACCAGCAGTTCAGTCTCTTCAAGGAAAGCAAAACACCAAAAAGCCAAAAAAAGCATATTTGGAGAAAAGAGAACAGAACAGGTGGGTAATGGAATTTTTGTGTAATCCAGAACAATGCAACACAATCATTCAAAAAGACCTAAGCAAACAAAGTCCTTTAATGTGAGAAAATTATAAGTATTTAGAAATTCAACTTGAATTATGCTGTTTTCAGTGAATCTGGAAAAGGAATCAGATAATATTTTAGATGTCTATAGGTTTTACTTATGAAAGGTAGAATGAACAACAGTCATGTTTATTGGTTTTTGTTTGGGGTTTTTTTTGTATGTGTGTTTTTTTGGTTTGGTTTGGGTTTTTTTGCACAGCTACAAGATGCTAATGGTAAGTGAAAATAGTGTTGATTTTAGAACCAGCAGGAACATTTTTGCTGCTCTGATAACTGATTCATTCAAGATGCACAACAAATGCCAAAAGAAAGGAATTTTTCATCAGGAAAATTCCTTTTGAGGGATCTGCAGTATTTATTCTTTTGACCATGATCACTCTTTGTACTCATGCATGTAACAAAAGAAAGTCATGAACACTTTTGCCTATGCTTTGACATGTGTCATTGCTTGTCCAACCCACAAAATGGTGTGTCAGAAGGATGCAGCTGTTCCACTCTGGGATCCTCTCTGCACTGTTTTCTGTGGACAACAATGTTTCTACGTGGTGGAAACAGAGGAAACTGGTGTTTGCATCACTGTCCCATTTATCACCTTGTGTTCTTGTGATGAAACAAGTCTAGGGTTCACGTATATCAATGAAGTCAGAAATGCCTTCTAAGAGGTGCCTTTTTTTTTTTTTTTTTTATTCCCAGCTGCAGGTTTTAGGAAGGGGGAATATGAATAACATCGCTCCTGTGGTTCTGAAATGACCTGGTGAACTCCTAGCCCCTTCAGCAGGCACTGCTTGGGATTGGAGCTCCAGCTTTCTGTTTTTTGAGGAGCCCTCCTGCCCAAGGCAGAAGGCTGAGTTTCTGCCTTATATTAAATGATCTGACACAATAGGCCTGTTTGGTTGAAGAAGCTTCAAATGTAAAGGTTTCCATAAATAAATAATAAAAAAAGAAAATGTCACCAACAACCCTCTTAATGGCAAAGGTAGCTGCTACTTGCAAATGAAGAATTGCTTTACAAGTTCCTGAAAACTACCATTGTACTTTAAAAAAACAACTTGATAAACTTCATTAAAACTGGTTTTCTGTTCAGTGCTACTGTTGAAAAGGCTCAGCCTGGGGGCAGGGTTAGGGACAGGGAAAGCAGGTTCTGCTCTTGACTTTGCTAATAATGGGATATAAAACCTGAACTAAGTCACTCCAGCTCTGTTTTGCCTTACACCTCCTTGGATTTTTGACCTTGGTGACTGCAGCTTTGATATAAACTACAGCATCTCAGCAGAGCTCTGCACATTTTGAGTATTGATCATTAAGTGATCTCAGCCTGGCCCCTGGTAAATCACAGACTGTTATGTTCTCTGGTGGCCTCCCTGTGCATCCTGCAGGTGAAGGAGGGTGTTAGCAGGACTGAGCCATCTCACACCCCAAAGGCCACATCCCAGAGCCACACAGCATACAGCTCAGGCTTTACATGACACAGAGCTGTTGGGACACTGCTGTGACATCCCTGGCAGCTGGACTGTGTCCTTCAACAAGGTCAAAACCCACCCCACTCCCTCTCCTGCATGCACTGACCATGACCATCACTGTGTTTTCCCACAGAGACATGGTTCCTACTGCCTCAAGGTGGGGTGCACACTGAGCCCATATGGCATGTGGGAGCCAGCCTTTCCCTGTATCCCACCTGGATTACCCAGCTGGGATGGTGGGTTCCTGCATACCTCAAAAATTACTGAGATGTGGCATCCAGCTCAGCTCCTTCAGCAGGCACAACTTGTCCTGCTTGCTGTTCCGTGCTGGGTGACCTGTACAGCACCTGCAGATTCTGCTGCTGAAGATTTTATGTCATCTTTTGGAACTCTAATTAAAACCAAACTAAATAATTTTGTCCCAAGACTCAATCCTATGAGAACCCTGCTATATCTAGCCCCATTATTAAGGGTGCTCTAGGATTTACCAGAGAGCTAGTTTGTAATTTATCTTCAGGAACAATTAATTAAATATTGTTTTGGAACCAAATCATCCATGCTTAGAATTTACTGGTATTTGAAAATCATAGACTCATAGAATGGTTTGGTTTGGAAGGACTTCAAAGATCACGTTGTTCCAAACCCCTGCCACTCTGGAGGACAAGATCTGCAGATGGAATCAGAACTCAGTCTCAAGGTAAGACCTCTTTTTATACTCTTATCACTCTCAGAAAGATATGCGAATATAAATACGTGGTCATATGAGTGGTCATATCAGGTCTCCAATGGTCAGAATGGTCTGTGCAGTGTTTGAAGGCCAACCAGCAGTCAGAAGTTCATTGCTTCTACCATTTTTTTGTTTTTTTGTTCTTGTTTTCTTTCCAGCTACTCCTTGGTATCTTGGTCTAAAATAAGAGACACTGAAGGCTTGAAAAATACTGATGTCAGCCCTACCAGGGACATTCAAGATACGAAATGTTGTTGGCTGTGTCTGTGGACAGGGTGAGTGAGGCAGCACAGCTGGCTGGTATGGCCAGTGGAGGCTGTATGGGACACACAGGGCAGTGGGGGGATGTGCAAGGTCTGGGGACATTCTCAGGGGCAACGGGAGCCTGCAGATGATGAGAGTGCAGTGTAGGAAGAGGAGCGTGAACTTTCCTTGCCTGTCTAATGCTTACAGAGTAATTAGGATCACATAAATGCCACTGCTGTTAACAGCCATGGTGACGACTGTTGTATCAGAAAAATTCCCCTGCCGTCTGTCTCCCAGGTGTTTGCACTTACATATCACTTCCCATTAAAATGGTCTGCAGCAAGTGCTAGGGGTGTCAGAGCTGGGTGATGCAACTGAATTAGTTTGAATAACTGAATAAGTTTTAGATCTTGGACTGACAGCTTGTTCATATACATCTTAAATGCACAGCAGCAGCATAATTTGCCTTACCCAGGTATGGCTATTCACAGTAGCACAGCAGGGCTCTTTGGGGCTGCTGCTTGCTTTTAACCTTGCTGCCCTCAGGAACCCTGCCTTGCAGGGGCACTTGCAAAGACACAGACTCGGTGTAATTGCATATAATCAACCTTCCTCTCTCCTTCCTCCCTTCCTCTGTCTTTCATTCTCTCTTCCCTTGCTCTTTTAGTTTTGTTTTGAGTTTTGCTCTTTTTTTTAATTTGAGAAACTCAAGTGGCCTGCAAAGTTTCTCAGGTACAGAGTGGTGTCAGGTCACCCAGGAAATGTGCTATTCCTTGCAGAAAGCAGCATATATTCTGATTCATTTTGATTCTGCCTCATCTTGCACAATGCAGGCAGGATTCTGAGAACGGGAAAGTTCCATAAAGGCCTTTTGTATAACTCATTCTGAAATCTGGCATCAGCAGATGAAACAAAGACCGAGCAAGCAGATTTTGAAGAAACATTTAATAATTTATGATGTACTTGGCACTTATATAGCACCTTTCATCCATGGTTCTTAAAAGACTTCAGAGATGTCAATAAATGATACAAACAGAATAATGTCTTATTATAATAAAGTGATTTTGCATGTCCATAAAGAGGAAGAAATTGCATTCCTAGAAAGATGAATTGTTTTATCTATAACCAAAAGTGAGTCTGTAAGAAAGTGTGACATAAAAGCAGAAATGTTTGTTTCTATCTCTTCCTTGTAAACTTTTTGAGGAAATACATAGCTTTAGGCAGAAGAATTATGTTATACTTTACCAAAAATACCTGCTTGACTGGCATGTATTATCTATGGTTCTTGTAAGGCCTCTTGCACTTGATGGATATTTGCCATCCTGCTCAACAGCATCCCAGCTGAAGGGGTTTTATCTCTGTATAAAGCAGCAACCTGAAGCCTCTGCTTAGGCTCATCTGCAAATATTTTTCTTTTACATGTGACCAGTAAAAAAGAAATTGTCTGTAAAGACTTTTTCCCTCAAATGCAAAACGTAACAGATGACCATGAAAATCAGAGCCACCATAACCTTGGTCTAGCCTGGAATTTTGTTTTGTTTTATAGAATATATTATTTCTCTCCATCATCTGAAGTATATATAGGCAAGTGTATGAGGCTTTGCAGTCAAAATTTCAAATAGGTTTTTGAACTTACAGACAGTTTCAGGTTTAATAAGGCAGAAAGCAACACAGAGGGAAGAAGTCTGAGGCTCTGAGCATGGTACTGTCCAGCAGTGTGCAATGCCCAGAGCGACTGGTCTCATTTGATGCTCCTGTATCCTATAGAAATGTCCTTTAACTGATGGTAGGTGCCCCAGAAATTCAAGTAGTGATGTGGTGGATGTAACTACGAAGGTGGGTTCAAAAAAGCTCAAAAAAATTCCACATGGCCTTCAGTGAGATTTTGTAATATTTTACTGTAAGCCTTTACCCTAAGTAGAGGATAATAAAACCACCTGACTCAGACTTGTGCATACTACTACTGCATATCAAATTAAATGAAAAGTAAGAAACTAAATTGAACTGTTCAGAAGGAAAATTCCTTAATGCACAAAGGTCTTCAAATTAGAATGTTTCACAAAGTACTTACCATTAAAAATATTGTTATTCACCAGCACTTACCACAGAGTGACATCTGAGATGTTATTCTGATAAGCTATTCTGAACAGTTGGGTTAACTGTGGTTTCTTGGAAAATGCATGGTTTTTAATTGCAGTAACATTACCTGTATTAATGGACATGGTAGGATGTGGGTAAAAGTGTACTTGCACTTAAGGCTGTCCAATATTTACCACTGCATGAAGTTGTTTGCTGCTGGTTATTATCATCCGGCTTTGTCCAGCAGGAATTCAGTGACCTCAGCCAGGTGGGCATTTTGAACCAATGGTGCTTTGGAAGTGCCAAGAGCAGTGGTCTGTGCAGCCACAGTGAGGCATCTTCTCCTTGCCCCATGTGAAAGCCTCTAACACCTTCTCATTTTGAAGTTCCAGAAGTGCTTTGCAACAGTGAAAGCTTTTGGAATGTAACGGGGGATTAGGGTGGTGTTAGCCCCAGTGAAAATTGTTTTTGCACTGCCTGAAACATTCACTTTGGGAGACATGTAAATATATGATCCGAGTAAGTTTTTTAACTCTAACAACAAATCTTCTTGATGCTCTTACATGCAGACAAGCAAGCTTACTATATATTTTACCATGCACCTTTGCATTTCACTTTGGCTTTCCTGGAAGTTTGCCTCTCTTTCTTTATGTGTTATTTGGCTCAATTCTTTTTTTGGTTACTGAAGCCCGCTTTTATTTTTCTTTTAAGCCCATAGGGTTTTAAAAAAGCACATAAAAATATACAAATACCTGATGGCAGGAAGCCAGGCTCTTCTCAGTGGTATGCAATGACAGAGCAAGCATCAGTGGGCACATACTGAAATACAGGAAATTCTGTTCAAACATAAGAAAAATCACTTTTTACTGTGGAGGCGATCTAATGCTGCAACAAGTTGCCAAGACAGGCTGTGCTCCTTGATCCATGGAGATATTTGAAACCCAAGTGGACATAGTCCTGGGCGGCCTGCTCTAGCTGACACTGCTTGAGCAGGGGGGTTGAATGGGATTGACATCTGCAGGTACCTTCCAGCCTCAGCTGTCCTCTGGCCTGTGATACATCTGGATTCTGTAATATGCAGACATATACATTAAAATTTATGAGTTCATTATGTGGTCGGGGGACCTGGTTTTGTCTCTGCCAGTCCACACTGCTGCCCAGAAAAGCTTGGCTAACCTGTGTTGGGGGATGTTACGGATCTCCAGCACTTCCTCTCTGGCACAGCCATGGTCACAGCAGGGAGCAAAAACATCCTGAGACAAGAGGAAGGAGGAAAAGGATGTGGTCCAGCTCCAAGCTGCTGGGATTGAAGACCTTCCAGGCCTCCTTGGCAGAGCTGCTGGTCGGAGATGGCAAGCAGCCTCCTCCCCTGCCCCAGTGCCGAGGGGCACACACACGACAGGAAAAGAAAGCAGGAAAAGAAAGGCACGGCCATGTGCATCCTCCTGGTCCTGCTGACCACTTCAGGGAGCCGCTTCATCTGCTGAGCCTTCCTGCTGCTGTCTTGCCAGGAGCACAGAACAGTCCTGGGAAAGGGACAGCAGCCGAAATAGCTGTAAGTGGCACTGGCAGTAGCTTCCACTTAAAATAAAACACATACAAACTCTCCATAAATAAACAGAAAGGCCAAGTGAAGAACATCAAGCTCCTTTGGCAGCAGCAGTGACTGATTAGAGAGGTGTCTCACCGAAGCCTAATTACAATCTAGTGTTTAATTGCTTCTGACCAGCATCAGCCCCTTGGGCAGGAGGCAGCTGGCTGCCTGCAGTCCTCATTCCCTGGAGGAATAGGGGAAAAAACTTACCTGGCTCTATGGGTCGTTTGTCTTTGGCACAATTTGGAAACAAATCACTCATCATTCTTATTGCTCGGAATGTTACACTTTCTTTTTTCCTTTAAGTGAAGTAACTTCTAATTAGCTTCATGTCTCTTAAATTACTTAAATTCTAGTCTCATAAGGTTATTTCTTGTGTGGGAGGCCCATCTACCCCTACCCTACTTATGGAAGAGCCTGCAACTCCCCCAACCCCTGACATTGCTTCCTCCTGTGACCGTGACCATCACACTTCGTTAATACAGGGGAGGTGAGGTCTCTGAGACTCCTGGGCACTTTGCTGTGCCTCATCCCAGGGGCAGACCTGCTCCTTGGGGAGAGAGCCCCCTCCTTGCATCCACCTCCCCTGGGCTACAGCACTGGGGCAGCTTCACAAATCCCCACTGCTGTGAACAAGTTGCGAATTACTGTACCAAGACCTGAATACTAGTAGTTATTTCGTTGTATAATATAAAGAGGAGTATTCCTTTTTAATAGATACAAACTATATTTGATGTAAGTATAATATATTGCAATATATCTTAGAGATCATTTATGTAAATCATATATTGATATCTGTATAATTGTGTATTATATATGTGTGTGTTTGTGTACGTGTAAAGTTGAAGTTTCATGATCAATTTGTTGCAGGACAGTTTCTGAAAGCAGAAATTCCATGATACTGGAGGCATGCCACTTGCCTGTCTGTCCCTTGGCAGCTGGCTGTGCCGTGAGCACCCAGGCAGTGCCAAGGGCAGGTGGGAGCTGTGCAGCATACGGGGCTGGTGTGAACTGCTGGTTCAGCTGGGGCACAGCCCGTCACCCACAGGTGGAACACACCTCGCCAGAGAAGGCATTGAGGTGCTCTGCAGACATGCCATGGCCCTTGCCCCCTGGGGCAGCACTTTGCTTTTTCCCTGTCATTGCACCAGCAGCTTCCCTTTTTATTCTTCCACCCTATGGGAAGGTTCAGTTTTGTTCCTGGCTCTTTTTTGCTTGAAACAGGAGTACCTGTGTGCCTGCCCTATTTGGAATTTTTTGATAAAAGAGAATTCTTTTCTATTCAAACCCTTTTCCTTTTTTAATCTGTTTCTGCCACCAAACTCTGCGGGCTTCTGGAGTTGTACTTTTCCTCAAACCTACCAGTTAACTGTGCAATTCAGAGGAGAATGTGCATGACAGTGACCTGGGAACTTGTGACTGCCCTTGTCCTTACTGCAGATTTGCAGGTAGCCTGGTACAAAATGGCTTCAGTCCTCACTTTCCCTGCTCATAAAATGGGTCATCCAGCCTATTCTCCTGTATCAAAGTAGTCCCAGTAGGGCAGGTGGCAAGATAAGAGGGAAAAGGGAGAGAAGAGAAAGATTTAAAAAGGAACACAAACCCATTTTGAGATACACGGAGGTTCCCTGCAATCTCCAAATCAGGTTGAATTACCTGTGGATGCACACAGACTTCTGGGCTGGAAGGGAGCAAGAGCCACTTTTGTGCAACCACTGCAGAGAACTGGGAGCATCCTTGCCACTGTTTTGTCCTTGCAATCTATACCCCTTCTTGCAGCACTCACAGCACCTGTGTTTTGCAGTGCCAGCCACAGGGAACAGCAGTGAGCCTCAGGAGTTCTCCGTTCCATAAACATGCCAAATCCATTTAAAGTGCTGTGTGGATGGTTAGTGTGAATGGGACAGATTTTAATTTCAATTTTTAAAGTAATGGGGAAAGGCCACATACATCTTTATCTAGGTCAGGGGAGAGTTTGTCCTTTCTCTTATGTGAGGTAGTCACAGAATCCAAAGATGGCAAATTGTTTTTATTGCTTTTAGACCAACTCTGAGTAAAGTTATTCCCAGCATTATAACAACTAGTAGTTCAATCTTCAGGTAGACTTGCTTTTTCTACTTTCATTAAAAAAATTTGATGAACAAAAAACCCTACTGAGTTGCATTGGTTATACAAATGGCATGTTCATTTAAAAGCAAATACTCTGGAGACTATTTAGTTTTCTGTCTGTCAGACTAATGCAGTTTGTATTCTGTGTATCAGATAAGATCTTATATCATCTGTGATTATGGGTGAGACTGGACAGTCTAAATAACCTATGTGTTGAGCTGTTTATGCTGGGAGACAGATGCAAAACCCTGGCATTGCAGGCTGTCCAACTCATGACTCTTCCATTTCAGAAAGCTCCTGCTGAAAGTCAGGTTTCCCTGCATTGACTAATACTTGATATAACTTGTGTGTTTGTCTGTATAGGGGTTTTAAACTCTAAATGCAGGCATACTACAATTAGGAGATATTTAAAAATACAAATTACACTAAAGGAGAGCTATTGAATGTAGGTGTGAATTATTTAAATCTTCAGTAACTGGGCGCTCTGAATAAAGTGTTTAGGACAGTGAGGAAGTGGGATGCATTTCTACTCAGAAAGTGTTTACATAAACGTAATGCATCAAACATGGGCTTAATTACTTGCTAATTTTAAAGATGAAATTTCAGTTAAATGCATTTTAATCCTGTTAGTACAGCAGAGCCAGTGCAGCAGAGGATGAACAAAATAGTGTTACAGGCTGCAACAGCCAAGCCCTATTCCTTTATCCTTGGTGCTGCCATCATGCCCATGAGGACAGCTCCTGGGTGCCACACAGAGTGACCAATATGTTCACAGAGTTAGTGGGACATGAACAAGTAGAGTGGAAGCAAGTCCCGAGTCTGTAATTTACCTTCATCGGCACGGAACTGCCTTATGCGTGTTCAGCTTTGTCACGTAACTCCTTTGGGTTTACTGGCTTGGAAGAGAGTTGTTTTAATGGAGGATGAATGGCTGTCTGCCCTAGGTTAGTTTGGAAGAAGCTCAGCACCATTCTTAATGTAGTTGACATGTTTTCTTCAGGAGGCACCCTGTGGCCCTGCCCAGAAAAGCAGTCATTCTGGCCCAGTTTTAAAACAGGGAGCTCAGTGGATGAAATTGTGCTTTAAGTTAAGGATTTCTCTAGGTCAGCAAAGGTGTTGCCAGCAAGAATGTACTCCAGGTCTTCCAGAGTGCACATCTGGATCCAAACACCACTTTCTCCATTACCTGACAAATTCAGTAGTTCCCCAAGGCTCACATTTCTGCACTGACAGTAAACATCAGCCCTTATCTCGCCTGCTGCTTGGACTATGCTGTGCTTATAAAGATGAGTTACTCTCTCAGGACTTTGTTCTTTGACTTTTTCCCCATTTGCCAGTTACCTTCAGCATAGAAATGCTCCAGGAACGTTTCCCAGGACCAGATCCAGACACACCACCATGCACACTTCAGCTTGCCACTGTCCCTGAGTCTGCTCAAGGCACAGAGGGCCATCTGCTGCAATAAAGTTGTAAAATTTAGCAACTGGGGTGGGGAGGCAGCACTAGGAATCAGTGCAACAGGTGTGTGTTTCCCAAAGAGATGGTCTGGTTAACTTGGGGAAGTTTGCTGGCTGAGATTGCCAGAGACAGCCAGTGCTGCCTCTGTCATCTGTGAACGACATTTTGCTTAAATTGAGTGCAGCTATTTTTGAAATATCTGCTTGCCCTTTCTCCAAACCAGGCAAAGGGAGTCATAGCACCTAATTCATATCCCCAACCCTGTTCAAAGCTTTTATCCAGTGATGGTCTCTTGCAAAGTAATTTCTTGTAAAATAACCTGCAAGAAATGAGGCACGTCTTTGCCACTCACCATGCTGGGGTTTGGGCTCTGTCAGTCGGGCTCTGCTGCCTTGTATGCAGTCCTAGTGCATCTGCACTTGGGCCAGCATGCTCTTGTGATTGGACATGCTGCTGGGAAGACTTGCATGGATCTGAGTGCCCAGGATGCAGCTGGGAGGATGACACACACCTTACAACACTGCATAGGGTCATGTATGGTCTAGCTAGGGACTTCAGCATACTGAGGTCTTGAGAATAGTGACGTCTGGGGAAAAGGGTTTTATATATCAATATTTCTGCAGTCTTAAATATGTGTAGGAAGTGCACCTAATGCTGTCACTATTATTGTCTATGAGACTAGTAAGACTAATGAAAGGGCATGCAGTTAGGTAAACTCAGACATAGTTACCTCTTGCTAGGATAAACAGCTGAATAGTCCCAGTTGAGAATTTTGCATTTTTGGGGACACGCTGCTTGCACATGGGGAAGGGCAAAGTGCTTGTCTCAAATGGGCAGATTATTAGCCTTTAATTAAAAGGAGGATCTGGACATGTGTCTGATCTTCCTGTACCACATGTCCAGGTCTCTGATTAGCATTGCAGGCTGTTTATTTCTGCTTTAATAGTACCAGTTTATATTGTCTAATATAGGCTACATACACATAAGAAAACACACTGGGTGTACACTGCGGACTGTCTGAAACCAGAAATTTGCCTCTGAGCATTTTCAGTCATTGTTTTTTCCTTACTGTCAAACCACAGTGCTACATATGAAAAGACTTGGTTTCTATCAACATTTTTTCTTTTCTGTTTAGAGATTGGATTATAGAAGAGGAAAATTTCCCTCAGAGTGTGGGTTGCTGTGGGACAGGCTTATTCTGTTCCTGTGATACCATCAAAAGGTAAAATTGGTCAGCGATACCATACACCACACCAAGAAAAAAAAAAAAAAGAGGGTCAGGAGAAACACACACTGGCACACACAAGTCCTTGAACTTGCACTAAGGGATATCATGTTACATTTGCAGTGTTTCCTAGGAAACCATTTTAGTGTAAAAGGAACTCTTTGTCTCCTGCTCTTTGTTAAATTGTTTGAACCACCATACCTCATAAAGAGGTTGTTTCACAGACAATTTATGCAGCATTTAATAAATGCTCAATCTGTAGTTTGCTGCACCATCAGAAGCAATATCTTTATCAGCAGTCTGAATACTTTGGATTGTATTTGCTGAGAATTGATAAGTTTATGTCATAATTTCCAAAAGTCAGAGAATATTCTAGTTTTCTATTTTTTTCTTCTGACATGGAATCTCTTTTCTCTACCAGCAAGGCAGTATAGAAAGAGAAGAAAAAAATACAACACTAAAAAAAACCCAAAGGGCTTTTTTTGCTTTGTGAAGCTCTTGGAAATTGCTTTGGGAAGCTCTTATCAGCACCTTTTTACCAGCATGTTGGCTGAAGCAAAAGTACATTTTGCTTTGTTTCCCTTTGAACACAGAAGAGGTGGAACAGGATTTCCGCAATCATTGCTGTGACTCCCTGGTGTGGCGGTGCCCACGTGCTTGTGTGTGCGACCTGCCCAAATCCAGAAGGCTGGAAAAAAGGACTCATGTGTGCTGAACTACCTGTAGCTTTCACTCCTGCAGGCTGAGTCCCTTGGCTGTGCAAGGTGCTTCCCTAAAACAGAGCAGTTTCCCAGCTGATGCTTGTAGGGGCTTTTTCTGTGCAGCCTGATTGCTCTGGAGGGTGCATCCATCTCAGTCCTGCTCTGCAGACAGGGGTAGAAGTCCTGAATATTAGGGCAGGGCTTGCAGGCCAGAGAAAGATATGGGTTTCCACTGAGCTCTTTGTCAGTTCTTTTTTGTTATTTATCATCTTCCTTTAAATGCAGCATGCGATGTCTGCTATTTCATTTTATTTAAGGAGGATGAATGTGAGGGCTCACAGGGCCTCCACTGCTGCCAGCAGGCTGTCCTGTGCTTCCTCTGCACTTTGCGTGAAGAGCTGACCTAATGAGTTTTGTTCCCTCCTGTAGTCCCTGTCATTTGCAGTTGCTATAATTTCCTGTCATAGCTACTTTTTTCCTCCCCCACCTCCTTGTGATATTACAAGATTCATCTGTAAGGCTGATGTGCTCTGACTGCAGCATGGTAGATTTGTCTTTGTCTTAATATATTATTTACGATGCTATTATTCCTTTCAGTGGACTGCCAGCCACACTCTGCATACAGTTGCTGGTCTTCCAAATGCATCATAGCCAGCAAAGGAAAACACTGATCTAATTGAATTAACAGTGGTTCTGTTAGCCTTAATAGAGTTTGTCATGGAACACTAAGCAGATTTGACAATGATCTTGGTTAGTCATATTTTTGTCCCTACTCCTAGACATGGTAACTGTTAGCCAGACCAGTGGAGAGGATAATTCTCCTTTGCTGATCAGTAATTGTGCTTACCTAGACATGTGGCAATCACTTAGGACTGATGGCTGAAATAAGCCAGGGACTTGAATAGCAGAAAGTTTTATATCCTGACAATAAACTTGGCTAATTAAAACAAGATGCAGATGGTACTGCCACCTAGCAATTTTCACCTCACTTACTCTGACTCCAATTATAGCCTTTCCCTACTGACTTACACTGTTTAAATTACAGTCAGGGGATAGATGACTATTTACCTATTTCTATTCATACAAAGAAGTCTCTAACACATCATTGTTCTCCTGAACAAGGCATGTGAAGATGGACTTAGTACTCATTCTGAAAAGTACCTCCACTCTTTAAAAGAAAGGAAAAAAAGTAATAAAAAGACTACTTAGAGACTCATTAGCAGACACATGCACCAGCAGGAAGCATATGAATATTACACACACAACGTGTCTTTCTAACACTTGTTCATTGGAGCAGGTGCCATACTTCTGGGAAATTAACTTTAATTGGATAAATAAAAAACTGGCTTTAACTAAGCCAGTCCAGCCCACTTTCTTAGCTTATTATTTTCTTTAGACTCTCTGAAATGCTTGGTGTTAATCCCTTGGGTGACTTTCACTACTTCTTCTCAGGGTAAAATACGTTTAAAAGGAGAGGTAAGACAATCAGCCATCAAGAATGGATTAGGTTTGCTTGATCCTTCCCAGTGCAGTGGGGTGGATAAGACTGCCACTTGGGGTCCTGAACATTGCTTTAAACAAGCTTTATCAGGGAGCAAGAATCCATACCCAGCCCTGGAGAGAACAGAGAGTAATCCTGTGAATTCCATGGCAGAAGAACGATATGGAATTGCATCCCAGAAATTACTCTGGCCATCACTGTGTTGCTCTTAGTGTCGGTGCATTACTGTTATGGCACTTCATTCTGGCACCCCCTTTCAGATAAAACTAGCCCTGTGTACTGCCATCCTCCAGACAGTAAAATGCACTGAACTGTCCACGTTTTTCCTGATTGCTTAATTGTTTTTCACATGAGAAGCTTTTTCAGGCGCAAAACATTACCTGCTGTAGAAGCTACAGTGGGGAAGGATTTGCAGTTATCTTTGAAATTATACTCTTGGGCAGTTTGAAAACATATGTGTCTGTTGGAGGGAGAGGGGAGGAACAGGGCGGTGAACCAGGATTTATTTACAGAGGCCTATTGTTTTGAGTCATTCAGCTGGGTTCCATTTTGTGTAAAAACATGTATGCAAATTAATGCTGATTGGAAAGGAAATTCCATGTATCGTTGATGACATGCTAAATGAGGTCACCATGAGTACCATTAATATGATGAACAAGATGACACTAACTTGACAGAACTGCTCGAAGCGTCTTGCTTTCTCTTGGGTTTCTTGTTTGCTCTGTTCAGCCCCAGGGAGCTTCTTCAGTGTGGCTTCTTCCCTGTAGGGGACAGATCTCATGATTCAAATAGACAGCATGTTGCTCAGTGGTCTCCTCCCCTGTCAAAAGCCACCATACTGCAGGCTGAGGGCACTGCCTCTTTTGGGGTGGGGAGCTGTGGGTGCTCAGTGGAAGAACTATTCCTTAGCAGCGTGCTGCTGTGGGTGCCTGTGCTCTGCTTGGCTGCTAAGACCCCACCAGGGCAGTGGTTCCTTCAGTTCCTCTCCTGGTCACTCCTGTACAGTGGAAGGTAAGACAGGTCTCTGCTAGAACTGTTGTTCATGCCATCTCAGAAGTGTACCTTCGGGGTGGTGTTGTGAGGGAATAATGCTTTAAGGGCTAGGTTCACACCTTCCCTTTGGCAGCAGGTTTTGGACACATAAGCAGAGGAGTTATCCCAAATGGCTTGTGCATCAGAGCACCTTCTTGCCCTCTCCTTTAAATGGACCCATGCCCATGCTTTAAATGGACCTTCTGTTTCCAGGCAAAAGACGGAGCAGCTATGCAAAAGGAGTCATCCAGACCACTACTGGAGGCACTCCTTGGCCTGTCCCCCAGGCAGTAGCTTGCAATTGTTTATAGAGGAATATTTATATTAATGTTAAAATAGAGGTATATTAATCTTTGAATAGCTTCTGCAGGTGTTGCTCATACAAAGCATTTCAAACATTCATAGACCAAGGATTGGCTGCAGGACTGAAAATGATACAGGTCCCTAAGCACCCAGAGAGCTCTCACTTTCCTGTTTACTGCAGCTCTGTGAGCATGGAGCATGGAGCACTGTGTGACTGTAGAGTGCTCTCAGTCCCCAGACCAGCAGGTCCCTTATCATTACTTGGGGCACACCCCAGTCCTGGCAGACATCCTCCCTGCATCCACACCACGTATCTGCATGCTAGTGTGCCCAGCTTGAAGGGAACCTGCACTGAGAAAGAAACAGGTAAGTATGTGGGCAAAGCACTGAAAAATGGTATTTGTAATGCTCTGCATTTGCATGCCACATATGTGGCACATAAGAGGAAGGCTTTAGATCCAGAGGAAGGTGTACTGGCAGGGCAGAAAAGCCCAAACAAGGTCTGAGAAAGGGTAAATTACTGGATTAGATCCCTTGTTTCTAAGGAATCACACTGTCACATTGCCTATTCTCACAAAACAAACCCACTAAGTCCAGTAACAAACATAACCAAGTGTTTATCTGTACTGTTGGTAATGGTCATGCATAAGTGATCCCCATTTACACACAATAAATGTGGAAAATGCAGCTAAGTTTTAGTGACTCCCAGGACTAGGGAGATTTTACACTCTTTTGTTGTTATCTGTTTACTACTATTTTCTTGCAGAATTAGTTTCAGCATCATCCTTTAAATCAGGCCTATGAAGCACAACAGATTTATGCAGCTAAAAGAAAATACAGGTTCCTCCGTTATTAATATGTAACGTCTGGAGATGAAGTCACATCTGTATGATGATCTATTTTGGTGGACCACGTGTGCTTAAATCCTAGGCTTGATCTTTCAAACTGTTAAGTCTGCCATAAATATTTGACAATGAACAAGCTTATAAAAAGAAAATGCAAAATATGAATAGAAGGAGAGCAAACGTGTGATTCACTTTTAATTATCAGCACCACTACATTCAAGTTCATCTTCTTTAAGAGGCAGAAAGTAACAAATTTCTTTCTCACTATAACCTAAATGATCAGCATTGCATTTGTTTGTATTTTTAAAGGAAAAGGATAAGTCATCGTAGAAACAACAGAAGCAGGAAACAAGAAACAAAGTAGAACAGTCTGGTTTTATTACCATATGTAATCAAGAGTTTTTATTTCCCATTTCTCCTCCTTTTTGTTTTTCTTTCTTGCCTTTTTTTTTTTTACAACCGACATTAAGTTGTGAATCATATGTTAGGGGGAAGTGGAAATGAAGGGAAACTGGTGACATCACAATACTTTACAACTTTACAACAAATGAGAGTCTGAATTTGTTGCATCTACCAGTGTATAGCAAGGGTGGAAAGCAAAGGCACACATAGGTTCATGAACCCCTCGAAACAGAGGGTGGGAGGGAACCGGGGGTGGGAGAGGATGAAAACAGAAGACCCACTGAGTACGAAATGCACGTTTCAAGGTCAACCCAGTAACTGTGGTGTACACTGCGAAGGCAGATCGCTGCACAAGCTGTTGCCGTGATTATTCATGTCTACATTTTGGGAGAACGCTTTGAGGGATAATATCAAGGGAACCTGCGTGTTTGGTGCTTCAGGGGTTTGGAGCTTGGTAAAAAGGTTGTGAGTTGGTTCTTTTAAAAAAAAATTACCTTGCTACCTACTGTTTTCAAAGGGTTTTCTGTTTGTTTTTATTAAAACAACAACATTGCTTTGGATACAGATCTATCTACTCCAGTCTGCATAGTTCACTACGGGTGAACAAAACTGTTTCAAAAAAGAAGCCATGATGAAATGAAAGAACATGCAAACACCCTTGTTACACACTTTGGTGTAGACTATCCAGACTTTATATATACCATCTATAAACTAAGGGACTTAAAATCGGTCTTTTCAATCATTCAGAAACAAAACCAAAACCCTGAAAAACAAATGGAAGTATAAAATTTTAAAAAACAAACTGAAACAGAAACAACCACCTTACTCGAACATACTGTTCAGTAGATATATATATATATATATATAAAAAGCTTAGAAGCGATCCCCATCATTTTTCTACAGTATGTTGACACAGTTATTGTAACAGATTAAAAACACAACTATGTTTTTGCATAAACTGAAAGACTGGAAAGGAACTTACAAACCTGCGCGCGCACACACACGCACACACCTGGGCGCGCACACACTCCCACACTAGCTACATGCACAGTCACACAAAAGAAACAAAGGAAAAAAACACCGCGTTTTTCCCCAAAGAAGTATATGCAGCATCCTTCTGGAGCAGCAGGTAGCTACAGCAGGAGCCTGCCTGCCTGTCCTAGCTCCATGGGCCCTGCAGGCAGCAGGATGTGCGGCTGGGCTTTCGGCAGGGCTTGGCCCCTCTCACCGGTGCTCGTCCCCGGCCAGGGGACATACCAGCTCCGTGGACATCACTAGTCATTTCCCTGCTGCCCAGTGAGAATGATCTCCATGCTGTAAAAGGGGAGCGGGAGATGGGGGAAGGCAGAACCCCCAGCATGGTGCATTGGGAGCATCACCACTTGTGGGTGGTTTTGAGAGAGAACTTGGCACAGCTAGAAAGTCAAATTGAAGTGGAGGGTATGGTGCTGGCCTAGTTGCTTTAGGGATGTGGGGTTATGACAATAACCACCACGTTCTTCTTTCAATGTCTTACTCCAGTTTTTGAAGGGGCTTGGTGGAGGAGGAAGGATCAATAAATATTTGCATTACTCAAAGGGGAAAAAGAAAAAGGTTTTACATACTACAGCTCACAAATATACACAACTGAGGGTGTAAGGCACAAATTTACATGTGGAAGAAAACAGGCTATTCACAGATATATTCCCACGAAAAACCCGTGTGATAAGACCATAATTTATGCATGGTAACAGCCGGCATATTAGCTAGTTCACACTGTTTGAGGATTTTGTTTGCCGTCTCACATGCAAGGTGAAATGAGATGGCACATCACAAGCTGGTGCCTTCACAGAAAATATTAGCTACTGACAAAGCCATGTTGATAGCAATGGTGCACAGATGTGCAGCTTTTAAGTTTCTCTTGCAGTTGCTTTAGAAGTTATGAACTCGCAGTATTTGTTGCTGTCTTAGGTCAGAGGCCCAGCCAGCTAATTAGCTGAGAGACTTAAATAGATATCCCCTTTTTTTTTCAGCTAACCAGGCAGTCCAGGCACAAAGTTCAGAATTCCAGCTCCAACTTATCTAACTCAGTGAATTTCTTGTAAAAATAAAAGAGTTCTAATTACTCCAGTTAACGAGATTCACGTTAAATAGGTGTAACTTTCAAGGTACTTCTCTGAAAAGCTGCTCACAGGATGATATGATGGTCAGTTCTTTAGGAAAAACAAAATTTGAACAATAAATAAGAGGAGTTACTTGTGTTAACAGTCAAGTGTTATTTATTAAAAGAGAAGGATAGCGGAAATCTATGACATAGATGACATAGTTTGCCCAAGCCGGCATTTAACTGCTGTGACCAAATGGCTGTAACACTGATGGGCATCATTTCACAGTACCTGCAAGTAGTAAACTTCTGCCATTGTTAAGTCAGAGTTAGCTTTATCAATTGATTTTTTTTTCCTTTTCTTTTTCTTCTTTTTTTTTTTTTTTTTTTTTCATTTGTTTGTTTTTTACATTTGTTTTGCTTTTCAGAGCACTCTTTCTCAGTTCAGGAATGCACTGTGCAGTTGGGGCCAGGGGGTGAAATGTCACAGTCATCTTTCACCTGTGTGCTTTTGGCTCAATGTTTGTGATGGAGGGTTAGTCTTTTGAGCAAAGAACTGGCAGGTCGTGGGGGTGAGTCCTGCAACTGAAACCTTCAACCATGGGTCATATGGCTCGGGTTTAAAAAAATATTCCACTTTTCCCAGAGAGCAGAAATCCAACACATCTTCAGCTTGCAACCACCATCTCCTCAGAGGAGCGAGTGATAACAGTTGCAGAACACTGCTTTCAAGGGCAACTTCTGCTTAATTGCCGTCCTTGCCCCGCTCCCCCCCCACTCTGATTATGTACACGCATCGTTCGGCTTCATGGACGTGGAAAGAGGAGCAAAGGAAGGTTTGGGAGGTACATCTGGCTTTAGCGAGGGCGTGCGTTTCAAACCTGACCTCGTCAGCGAGTTGTAGGTGGTGAGACTTGGCTGCCGAGATACAGTCACAGCCTGTGCCTGAGCAGCGTGGACTTGTATTGAGTCCACTCGCTGCGGGGCTGGTGGTGGGTTGTCACCCCGGCCAAAGCTCTGATTGCGGGAGAGGTGGGACGAGTTGGAGGAGTTAGTGTTGTTTCTTTTGAGAGTTGATGCCTGGTGACTTCTTGTGAGCGAGTTTGTAGGGTAGCTTCTCTTGTAGTCCACGTTGTAAGCAGAAGAGTGCATCTCCAGCCGCTTGCTCAGGCCACTCTGTGACAGCGAGGCCCCGGGGGGCCCCAGGGAAGCTTCCCGCTGGGGTACTTTTGGTGGCATGCTGTCAAGATTTTCCACCAAGTTAACCCCATGGCTGGGGCTTTTGCTACTGAGGTGGTCCTTGATAGTTTTGTACTCAAGGGTGGCATTCTGGTCCTCCACAGACATCTGAGCCCCATCGCTCATTTTTGGCTGGTCAACATACTCATGCTGGTAGCCTTGCTGGGCTATGGGCAGGACCACAACACTGGGGATGTGGCTGGGAGAAGCCCTGAGTGGCAGGTCAGTTGGGATCACTGGTGAGGCCATCGGGGGCATATCTTTTGTGCAGGCATTGATGAGGTTCTGGTTTCTCTCCCATTCCCTGCTGCCTCGGCTGGGCTTTCTCTTCTGTTGCAGGGTTGGGGTGGACTCAGGGGTTGGCAGGGCAGCCAGGTCCAGATGGTGCTGGTCAGCTTTGATTAGCATCTTGGCAGTGCTGCCTGGGGTAGCCATCTTGCCATTGTGCATCAGAGGTGTGAGGATAGCTTCAGGCTTTGGCTCCTTGGACTGAGCATCCCCAAAGAGGCCACTGAGCTTGGTAACGCTGCTCATGGAGCCACGACGGGAGTGGGTCAGCTCCTTCTCCTTCCTCTGCACGACAGCCATGTCTCTGCGGCGATGGTCGCAGATGCAGTACACTATGATCCCCGAAAACACGGCCCCCATGACAAAAGCAAGAATAACAGCAATTGCCAACAGGGTGACTGGCACCAGCTGATCATGACCCTTCAGGTAACTCTCTCGAATCACTCCTGCAATAAACAGCATACAGTGGTTAAACAAATTAAGGACAAAGGAGGAGCAGGGAGGTGGGGGAAGCTACTTATCATTAACATTAACATTTAAAGGCATGCCTCTGGGAGGTTGGTTTTTGTTTTGCAAGGTGATTTTGTTTATCAGGTTGACCAAATTTGGAGACATACTGTACCTGCCAGCTACATCTTGCATATGCAGCCTTGAGCTTTCAGTACAGCTTTCAGATCTGGAGCTGGAGACTTCAAATTTCGGGAAGGGAGAGGGCAAGTGCAATTGGTTTGAAATCCTGGCCCTGGGCAGCTCACACTAACTTCAGCAGATCAGAGCTATTAGCTCTGCTCCTCTAAGATACTGCTCACTCCTCACCTCCCTCTTTTTCTAATATCTCCTTGTCCAATACCATCTTACTTTTACTATGGTAAGCCATTCACACTGAAAAGCCTCTAAGAGGAGGAGAGGAGACTGAATATCTGCAAATACCAGAGAGGTACACCCCACACTGTTTAAGGCTTCATTCTCTGCTCTTCCTTCTGTTATATTTGTCATGTGTTTTTAAAGTCAGTGTCACATGCCTGAGCTTCAGGAGGATGCTTAATAACTATGAAGGATAGAGCACAGTGTTGAAATTTATTGAGCCTGCCTGATGACTGTCCTTGCTATTTTAATTTTAAAAGCTCTGTCCTTTCTGAACACATGAATAGGTTGACCTCTGTGCTGAAGCCTATGCTTTCTCATCTGATTGCCTCATCTTGTGGTCCTGTGCTGTGGTCAGAGGTCATTGTCAAATCTTACTTGGCCCTCTGAACTCCTGCTGTCTGAGAAGGTGTCTTTGGCAGAGTGCATCTCCTCCATCTGAAGTCCCTAATGCAGCATTAATGAATACCCTGAATTTCTGAAGAAAGTTTTTTTTCTTTTCCTGATATAGTTGGGCACCAAGCCAGCAGCACTAATGAAACACAAACACAAAACCTATAGTTTGCTTTTTTTCATTTCTGGTTTTGTTCTTACTGCTTAACACAGAGCAGCCACAGTCTGACAAGGAACTGAAGGAGCATCTCTCCCACCTCTTTCCCAGAGAAGACCTAAGTGCCAGGGGATTAAAACTCCACATGCTCTATGGAAATGTAATACTTGTCCTTATTACAGCAGAGATAGCAAGACAGAAAATGTACCTCCAAGGCTCTCCTGAGACTTCATGAGGATACAAAACTTTCATGTTGTAAATCAACTTCTTCTAAAATAATGTCTTTTCATGCATTTGGTACAGAAGGTATTTGTAGCCCAGAATTAGAACTAAAATGTTCCTCAGCAAACTATGTTAAAAGAACATTGAAAAGTTGCCTCTACCCCATAGGAATTTTTGATAAGTATTCTGGATATACTGAACAATACTATTCTAGATATAGTATTGTTCCTATTTTTCTGTCCCAAATTAATTGCAGCATTTAGGTGGACAACAGATATTTGCTTACAAGACAGGAACTTTATATTTAAAAGTGAAACAGCTCTTGAAATCGTAAGCACCTGCATGAGACATTACAGCTGGTTGCCACAGACATTATTGTGCTATGACAATATAGAGGATTATGATTTCACAGGGTGAATAATTATCAAGGACGGATGATCACTTAAGAAAATAAGATCTGGCATCCCTATAAATGTCTTTATAGTAAAAATGTAAGGGCAGGAAAGTAAATCTCAGAAAACAATATATAATTAGAAACAATCTCCAAATTAAGTGTTTCTCAGAGAACCCTCTTTAAAGCCCAGCAGCTTCTTAAGAGGCAGATTTTTCTATTCTTTGTCATCAGCACTTAACAAGCAGCAGCAAAACCTAGCTCTGTTTAAATCCATGTACAAAATTGCTGTATGTAGAAGCCAAGACTAGTGGTTACAGCACAGTCAGCAAAACCAATATTTCACTGCAAACGTGTTGGTCTCCTGTGGACCTTCACCTGCTGATATTTACGAGCTAGACAGACCCTGCAGCATTCTGAGACCAAATTTATTTACACTTGTACAGCTGCAGTCATTAACTAGAGAATCAGTTACAGATACAGATACTTAAAAAGCCTTTCTTGCAGGAACTTCTCAGACATGCCCCTTTGAGCACTTAAGTCCAATGTTTTTTGCATTAAAAAGACTCAAAATCCCCACTCAGTGTGTTGGAAATAATATAATTTTCGAATTTTTAATAGCTATTATGAACCTTTTGATTACTTTTGTTAATTAATCATAGATGCTGTGTTAAGTCTTAAATTACTTCAAGTCAGCATTTAGCAAGAAGTTGTCATAAGCTACTTTAGTGGGAACATAGTACTTGGGAAAAGTACTGAAACTCTAAGTTTTGTTAAAGGTTATCCTTGATATGCTTTAGTGAACAAAGCTGAGGAGAGAGAAAGATGTATTGTTGAAGCTGGACATCTGGAACCCAAGATTTATGAACTCCAAGGACTTTTTGCAGAAATCAGCAGATAAAGAAGGCGGCTAACAAAGACTCAATATATGTGATAGAAAGTCTTTTCCAAGACAAAGATACAAAAAAGACTGAAGATGTGACCTAATTATTGTAAAAAGCAAAAAATTAATAACCAGTAGAAAGTAGAATACTAACTAATGAAAGAGAATTACGTAATTAAGAACCAAGGAAAATTAATTTCATTGTTTGCTAAAAATGTATAAATGGGTAGAAAAATTATGTATTGGGGTCCATGTGGGGCTGACTTAACTCTGTTAGTCTTACACACATACCTCTGGCCAGAATTAAAGTTATGCCTTGCTTTCTAATGCTAAAATGACAGTGTTAGAGAGTTTTATTTATCCCAACAATTTCAGAGTACTTGACAACAAGTGCCTTCCTAATGGTGCAAACACCTACTGTCAAAGTCAGCACGGGTTCATGAAGGGAAAAGTCATATCTTACTAACTTAATATTCTTCACTGAAAGGGTGGTCAGTCATTGGAACAAACTGCCCAACGAAGTGGTGGAATTATCATCCCTGGGATTGTTTGAAAAGTGTGTGTCACTGCTGTCATGTACCACTTGAGGCCATTTATATCCTGTTACTTTACAGTATAGGCTGTGAACAAGAGGCTGAAGTGCAGCCCTGTGGGAAGGGAAGTGGCAGTTTTGGTTGATGGTAAACTCAGGATGAGTCAACAACATGTCCTGGAAGATAAAAGGGCCAACTGCATAAAAATACTGGAATGTGTCCAAAGGAGTGAAAAGACTACACAGGGCATCACTAATGAGGAGTGGATGAAGATATTTGATTTGTTCACCTCAGAGGAGACCTCAGAATCACAGAACATTCTGAGCTGAAAGAGACCCAGAAAGATCCAGGTCTTAAGTGAATGGCCCATACAGGAATCAAACCCATGACCATTAGTGTCATGTTCTAATCAACTGAGCTAGTCTCAGGGCCAACCACATTGCTGTCTAAAGCTTCCTTATGGTGGGGAGGGGGGAGGAGAGTGCTGTTCTCTCTCTCAGGTATCTGATGATAGGATGCAATGGAACAGCTTAAAACTCATGTTCATGTCTGACATTTCCTACTGGTTAAGGGAAACTCCAAGTTCTACACTCTCGGCCTGCTGCTTTAGGCTAAGTCCTACTCTGCAAATGACAGCCTTAAACACAAACATGCATCACTGCATATAAAAGCAACATGAAATCTTCAGTTTAGATTACCAACAGATATCAAATCATTAGCACTCATATTACCACACAGCCCAGACTGAATGACCATTTGTGTTCATGGGAGAGGTAGCTGGAATGAGATTGTGTATGCTGCAGGCATTTTATCTGCATAAATTTATGATAGTCTTAAAACAGCCTGATTTCAGCTAGCTCCTCTGGAACTCAAACCTTCGTGGTATTTTATATACTACAGGATATTTAACATTAGTGGTTTTGCTCTGGGCAGGTGGCTCTTCTCTGGACACAATGCCAGATTAATGCCATAATTTATTTTTTATCAGAGATCACATCCATGTATCTTTAGTTATGCAAACAATCCCACTAACTTCAATGTAAATAAAATAAAATTGGTGAGATTTGACCCTGAATTAGTGTTTATGGAATAGTTAAAACTAAGTAATGAAAAAGTAGGAAAAATGTTCAACATCCTACTGTCATGACCATAGAGCGCGAGGGGGGTGAGGGGTTGGAATTTAATACAAAATGCGGTTGTTGTCTATCAATATCTCAAGCCCCTAACATCAGTAGTAACTGCCTTCACAGAGTGGGATGAATAAGCAGGTGTGTGATCCCAAACAAGCCAGTTTGAAACAAACAGGACAATGTTCATACTGCTTTATAAACTGCACTGCATGTGCTTTGACCTATCCTGCAGTTCTTAAAGAACAACACAGACCCCATGGCGCAGTCCAGCATAATTAATTTGCACTCATTATTCAAGGAATTAAAATGAATAGAGAAAGTAATCAGAAAAATGTAGGGCTTACATTTTTGAAAATTAAGTAAAGTATTCAGACTCTCACTTTTGAGGAAATACCTGCTGTTAAAATATCTTACAGCTATATGTTATCTGACATACTACTAAGACATCATGTACTGCAAAACAGACTGGGCTGGCTGCATAAAATACTGTGGAATGAGACTGTAAAATACGTTTGATATAATTATCACCACATTATTTTTATCTTATTTAATAATAAAAATATTATTCTAAATTAAATACTTTTACAGTGTTATGTCTAGAACTTTCCTGTTTGCCTTGTATCATTTTCATGAGTGAAAATACATTGCTTACTTCATTTTATGTGGTCTGAACGGCCCATCCATACTCCTGACTGTTTTCTCTACTGAGACTTATCACTGGGGATAACAACAAGCTATTCTTTGGAAAGGGATAGTGTTGACAGAGTTACCTGTATCAACATTACACTCAGGAGATGTGTGGTGGTAAAGATGATAACAGTAAAACTGAAAATGTTACAAAGACAGAGATGACATTAAATATTTGGACCTTCAAGGATCAGACCTTACATGTCACTAATGTCACAAACATGCTGACATTTACTGACCTCCCTGAAGTCTTCCATTTAAGTCAAGCTCTCTTCCTTACAAGTCACAACTGGGCTTACAAGTTCAGGGTCTTCCTAAAAGTGATGCATTATTATTTCTAGCTACTAAAAGAGCCAGTCTAGAAACCTGATATTCTTCCCTTTTCATGGCCATTCTGATTCTCATAGACAACCTGATCCTTCCTCCTCCACTAACTTTCTGTAATTTCATCCTGTGTCCTTCTGTCTGCATCTCCTAACCTCACCATTCATTTTCTTGGTTAGTATACCTTGTACTGTAACAGTCTGGAACGTGCAAAATCACCTCTTCTTACTCATCTAATGAGAGAGAAGACCTGATATGGTATTGCATTGTTGTGCTATACATAATTCATTCCTTCTTCCAGCAGAGCTGGTAGGTAAGGTTAAACTGTTTTGGCTGGCTGGTTGGTTAAGAGGACATTTAGAAAAATGTTTCCAAACCTTCAAAGTGATTCAGTTCTAAAATGAACTAGTGCTTGGACGAATCACATGAAGAGTATCAAGGTATCTGGGGAACAAGCAAGGAGACACTACATTCTATGTCAATAATACATATACTTTTCTTAAAGTTCTGGAAAAGAAGCAGACTTGTAGAATGTCTCTGGGTAAAAATAAGACAGAAAAGACCAGAGTTTTACAATGATATAGATCTCCTGTATACGAGATTATCAAAAGCTGGAAGGTGAGGCTGCTTCTTAACAAAAAGTAAGGCTTTTTTTAACAAAAGATTGAGGGCTAGGACAGTATATCCGCTAAAAAAAATACAAGTTAAAAAGCAAGATGAGCAGAGTGCTGAAAACATGACTCTATGAAAATGCTGATGAAGCTATTCTGGGCATGCTCTTCTCCAGCTAATTCTAATAGGAAAGAAATTCCAAGGGCAGAAATGTAATTAGGATGAAATAATCACAAAGGTATAGAGTTCATCATTCTGAAGAATATATGGCATTATCAGAATTGAATGAGAATAATGAATATCAACACAAAAAAAAATCTTCAATAAAGGAGAATACATAAGGCAAGACATGGAGACTTAATTATTTACTCCTTTTCCTGCTTCACTTTTCAACAAAATTCCCCACTCTGATCTGTGACTGGAAATATAACAAAGTCAGGGAACAAGAGAGAAAAAAAGTAAATATATTTAGCTAATGTAGACATTTTCAAATTGTCTAATGGAATCTGGCCCCAGCAGCTTAAGGAGCTAGCCAAAGCAATTTCTAGACATTGTACAGTACCTTGGACAACACTAGAGGTAATATAAGCACGAAGAGCTCTGCAAAAGGACAAGAATACTACCTGCCTTTGAGAAGAGCCAAAGGGAAGACATAACAAAACACAGACCTGCTAGCGCCATTTTTGAGTGGGGATGACACTAGAACAAGTAATAATCAATTTTATGAGCATCCAAAGGATGATGAAGTAATTAAAAACAATCAAAAGCCAGAACAAATTTTTCAGTAATAAATTACATTAAACCAGCCAAACTTCCTTTCATGAAAAGATAAAAGGTTTACTTTTTTTTTGACTTCTCTAAAGTCTTTGACTTATTCTCTCAGAAGTATAAGAAAGTGAGCAAAAACCCGCTGAAAAGTTGCAGTTGAAAAGTACTGATCAAAGTTCTACCTGGAAAGAGATCTGAAGTATCAGGTGTGTGTCTCAGGAGAACAGCAATTAACAGGCATCTACAGAAAGGAAGACCTCAACTCCAGAGGCTCAGCAAAAAAGCTGTGTCCTTTTATACTGTACAGTATGAAAAGAAACATGTCATGATGAAGCCTAAATTTCCTGGTCTCACCTGTGATCCTTGTGTGACAAGAATGGCAGAACATCAAGAAAAATCCCACAGTAACGTTCTTTTAAGTCTAGGTTCTTCCCAGTTTGAATAGCTTAATGTGAGGCTGTTTTAGTGATACAATAGCTTGGATGTTGCCTTCTTCCATAACCAAGCTGAAGTTGGTGAGGAAAACTCACACGACAGACAGCAATACCTGATCCGATCACTGCAAGATCCCCTGTGTGCATAACAGCTACCTGTAATGAAATACAACACCTTTCGGTTTGAGCACTACAGTGAGCTGTAGTGCGGAGACAAACACACCTTCATCCCTGAAATGATTTATGGCTGCAAGAGGTGCACCCTGGACAATGGGAAGACCACATCCCACGTGCACCAGGATCACTCTGTGATTGGCTCTGCAGGGAGCTGTCAGTGCCTAGCTTTTCAAAGCTGCCTGCAAGAGCTGGTAAAGTAATAACCCAAAATGGTGGCACACAAAGCTGAAACACCGAAGTGGGAAATGAAGAATTATGTTTTGGAAGGGAAATGAAGGAATAACTATCAGGAAACCAGGTAATATGTATCTCTAGACCACATATTAACAGTAGTTAGGAAGGGAGTGTCATTTCCGTCTTAAACTTCACCTCTCTAGCTAAACGGGAATGAACCCACTTCCACCTACAACACCTACAAAATCACTTGGGACTTTTTATAGAACAAGTCATTGTTCCAGAAAGACACAATGGTTTCTTTCCTGTTATTATTTAAGGGGAAAACTTTGCAGATAATTTCATTCTTCAGCGCAAGCTTCTCTGTTGTACATCTCCTTCTCCTTAGGCTTGCAAGAAACACTGGTAAAAACCCATTATAAATTAAGATTTTTATGGGCTTCAGAATATCTCTTTTAAATACCAATGAATAGGTTTTCAACATGTGTCTCCAGGTGTTAGAACTATGTTTACAGGCAGTCTCATGCTGCTAAAGGACAATTTCAGACTGGAAAATCCCTGCAGGTATAAACAAGCTTTCTTCTTCTTTTTAAACTAGTAATAAAAAGGCTGATAAATTTAGACTGGACACCCAGGTTTTAAGTGATAGAAAATTCAGGAATGGCCAGAGTCTACCACAGATTTCTGAGATCTTATCTCTTGTTTTCCTGAAGGAATAGTTTTGAGGTTTGACATAAACCAAACACATTATAATCCCAATGATTTGGTGTTTGACACTTTAATGGAATTGCTTTCTTGAAAAGGGTAAGTAAGCTTTTTTCCTTCATCTTTGTTCCAGCTCCAAGAACTCATTCTGCTGACTCAGGGCAATAAAACCCAATACCCATTTTTCTAGACTCTCGGTGTCACCAGCTAGAAAAAAAGCAGCTCAAACAATTGTAGTTAAACCTGCTGGCAAATGCTTTTCCCCCCTCTTCTCACAGTAAAGCTGTATTGTTGACTTGTAAAGGTCTGCAACTCTAAGTTTTGTGTGACTGTGCTGAGAACAGCAATCCATCCCCCCTCAGATTCCACTCTAGGGCTCTCAAAGCCAGTTGCCTGAGCTAGTAGTTTGAGGTACCCAACAAAGAAAAAGTGGATGCCTGCACGTGGAGAGAATAATGAAGCTGGTGAAGAAAAAAACTTCAGTTACAAGAGGCCTGGGGATCATTGGAGGCATAAAGAGAATCATAGTTCAGAACTATGAAAATAAAATCAATATATAATGTGATTGAACTAACACACAACAAAGCCTTGAAAAGTATCTAAGCAATCAGATCAGCCACAATGGCCTCTGTTAGGGTTTTCTGTCCCTTTATCAGTCCTATTTCAGAAACAATCCATTGAGGATAGGTTCATCAATTGATATCTAATAGTGGATTTATTTCTCCTTTCAACTGGTTTAAATTATATCACTTCTCTCCACTTTTCATGTATGACTGCCAACATGACTCTCTATAGAAAAAAAGATGGTTGTAACTTAGAAAAGGAGAAGAGATGAACATGTCCATATGAGATAACTTGTGCCTCTTGAAGTAACATTTTCAGAATGGATTTAAATTATCTGTTTTTAGTTTGATAATGAGCCTGCAACATAATTTTTCTGCATGTCACAGTGGCCACACAAAACTGACACCACAGCCTTGTGAATTCACACTTACAAAATTTGAGAGACTAGAAACAATGGATTATAATAGATGGAAATGACAAGATCTAAACAGGAAAGTTCATGCTCAGACAACTCCCACACCCACTGAAGTGAAGGGGAGGTAGACCTGAAAAGACTGGAATAGCAAGCTCTTAAAGGTTTTTTAATAGTATTACTTCTGAGCAGTATCTCTGTAAATAAACCAGTTTATCAAGTTTGCAGGTATGGGATATTGATCAGCACCATTGGTCTACCCTGGCCTCCAATCGGGAGCCCTGGAGACACACCATCTATAACGCTGCTGCTGCTTTTGAGAACACACGCAGGATTACTCTCGAGGAGAAAAGACAACGCAGAAAGAATCGCGTCTCGTCGATATCACCTGGGGAGTCTTTCTGCTGTGCCTTCTGCAACCAGACTTGTCTATCTCGCATTGGCCTTTTTAGCCATCAGCGCACTTGTAGCAAGCGTGGGTAGAGCCCCTCTCAAATCTTCGTTCACGAAGCCTAACCATGATGATGATGATGATGATGAGGTATGGGAGAAGGGTTGTTTGACACAACCTCCTGCATATATAATATAATGATGAAAGTCATTACAGTCCTGAAGCCAGCTCAATTTTGTTTGTCCTAGAGGCTAAGCTCAGGGCCAGCTCCTGCACTAGAAAGCATTTGACAATCATTGTCCCACTGGCAGGTGGTATGCAGTGACTGATCACTTTGAACTCTTCTGATTTCAGTACTTTCCTTCACCTCTCACCCTTTCCCAGTGAGCGATGATAATTTTAGATACCTGTGTGACGGAGGAAAGCAGACATAGCATGTCCTTTACAGAAAAGTAAAACACAGGCATTCACAGTAGTTAAAAACAAGAAGTATAAAATCCAAATGTCAAAGAAAATTAATTCTTTTGTACTTTGTCTTAGCAGAGACAAACTTTATGCTGTTTTGCATCTTAAAACACAAATTTCCTTTTAAGTCTGCAGCA